CAATCAAGCTCTATTCAATTTCATTACTTTTGATTGTTTGCTATGCCAGTCCTAGCAAAGTTCTTTTCCCAAGCGAGATCATTGATTGATCTTAGTGTTGTTCAGCAGTGACAACTTAGGGTTTAAGGAAGAGACAGCATGGAGCCTTCTGTAGGAGAATCACATCTTCTTTCACTGTGCTTTAAGCAACTACCCCAGACAGAGCCATGACTGTGAGCTGCTGATAGAACAAAAATGTTTAGGGCAGGGAGCACTGAGGGCTTTCAAATCTAAACATGAGCTTCATGGAAAGCTATAAGGGTTTAATAGGAAGGAGGTATCTTGTCATTTTAAGTTGCTGATCTGACGATCCTGAAGGATGGTTCCCAGTATGAACTATTAAAACACATAATCTTCCCCTTCACAGGTTTAAAAAAACGTGGTAAAACCAGTGGGATCCTACAAAGAGAGATTACAAATTGAAGACATCATCTGACCTTACGTTTGAAACAATTTTTTTGCAGAATTAAATTAATATTCTTTTATTTTGGAAGCATCTCTTAGGCAAGAGTTTTGTGCACTGAGTGAATTGAATAAAAATTGCCCAGCACTGGAACTTGATGGTACTCTGGGATTTAGAATGGTATTATATTCCATTGGGACTGCCTGAAAACACTGTAGTATTAACAGAATAAAAAATGTATACTTTTCTCTCCAGTATGCCTCATAGGTTATGATTTCTGTTTTTCCAAAGACATGTTAAATTGTTAAAAGGAACAACTGGTAAAACAAAACCATAAAAATAATTGTAGTTTTTCAAGGTCAGCTGGTGCTCTGTTCACAGTTAGCAAGAGCTGGATGAGGGCTCCCCCTACTGGTAGAAAGTCTTCTTTGACTTGTCAACTGTATTCACTGACACTGTAAAATGAAGCTGTTTCTTCCTGCATATTTGAGCATTGGGCAGGTACAACTTACTTCTGACCTTGTCTTGATTTCATTTTTGTAATCTCACTAACTTCAGTGAAACTAGCTTCAGTTAGCTTTATAGGCTGTGCCTAGTAGAGACATTGCTCAGAAATCCACACATTAAACAAGCCTTGTTAAATAGATGTGTGCTTTTTTTTTTTTCAGGCTGCAGTTTGCTTTATGTAGAAAAATAAAAAGGCTTTCTATCATGGCTTCAGTGTACTAAATCTGTGCTATGTGACTCTCTAAAAGATGTATCATTACATGAACACCAGGAGTTAAGCTGCTTTCAGAAACAGTCAAAAAAGGGAGTGACCAGATCATAGTTCTAGCACCTAGGGTGAATGAATCAAGTCAGATGGAGTTAGGGATGGTTGATTGAATGCTATTTTATTTTTATTTCACATATGGGAGTTTTAAAATACAAATAAATTATTTTTTCCACTTTTGGCATCATTTTTTTAAATGCACCTTTTGCAAACAGATTAAAACCAAATCTAATTTAAACATCATGCATTTAAAATAATTCTCTTATAATTCTAATAAAAGATGATATCTCACTTTTTCATCTCCTTAATTCTTAACTGCTGAAGAGTAACATTGTAAAAGATTCATCTGGCTTGTAGTTAAGACATCAACATGGGGGCGGGGGGCGGGAATGCCATTGCTGTATTTAAAATATCAATAATTAGCTAAAATATTCCTCATTTGATTTTCATGAAATAATATTAGTCGATGACTGTCAACTGAATGTGTGAAAAGTTCCCTTTGAAAAATACAGAGATTGAGATACTTAATTGGCATTGGTCTGGACCAAAATTGCAAATTCAGTTCCTTAGTTTTCTCTTTTAAAAGATGCATTTAAGAGATACTTTTGTGGCCCTTAGATGATCATATGCATTATTTTGCATAAAGCAAAATAAAGCAATCCATCTCTGACATATTAGGGAACTCTCCACTGTAGGAAACCCCTTTCAGTTAAGTTAATAATTAACTAAAGTTTAGTTAATAATTAGTTCAGACAATAATGGTAAAATGGATGGATAGGCTAATTCACTGTAAGATCATTTATGTCTACATCCAACTTCAGGAGAAGAAATGGCAAACTGAAGATGGGTCCGCTAAAAGCAGACCCAACAACCATGGCAGACTGAAGAGCTGGCGACTAGACCGGCTCTTCATAATTCCTCTCCAGACAAGGAGGGGACTTGAGATCACTCACAAGTGCTCCATACAGTTACTCCTCACAAGAAGACCGCAAGACAGTGGTCTCCAGTGGGTTTAGAGCTCTGGGAGATGAAGGAATAAACATCTTTTGCTCAAACTGCAGTTGGCACCTTCAAAAAGACACTGGGTTTGCATACTTCCTTTTCTAATCACTTTTGGAAATTGATTATTAACTGCTTTTCAGCTATTGGGAACCTTCGGATTGACAGGTTTTACAGGACGGGGTGAGTTTTCTTCAATCCTTAGCAAAAGAAGTTTTAAATACAAGTTTAAGGACTTCTAAAAAATTCTTTTGGAATAAACAGCAAAAGGGTGATTAGAACTTTAATTCTAGAAAGTTACAAAAGGACTAAGGGTCCAGATGGATTTGAAATAAGATTTTGGAATTAATTATAAGAATCTTTCCTATGGGAAAATGCTTTTGTTTTCAATTTTCTTTAAAAAAAAAAACATGATAGGATGAGACTTTGAAGGTTGGGTACTAGAGGGAACCAGCAGGAATTAAAGATTACAATTAAAGGAGAACACTGAAATTTATTTATTTATTTATTATTTATTTATTAAATTTGTATGCCGCCCATCTCACCCGGAAGGTGACTCTGAGCGGCTAATTTAAATTCGACTTACTAATACAGACTAAAGCAAAATATTTTAACATAGGACACATTGAAGGATATTTTTGAACAATGGACCCAGAAGTTAATTTAAGTTTGTCTGCCTCTATAGATAGACTGTGTTTAAAAAAGATTATGAAAGATTATGAAAGATATTATGTCTTTACCAGACAAGACTGAGGCTGATCTGAAAGGGGATTTAAAAATGACAGGCTACAAGAATGATACAGAAAAAGATGCTACACTGGATATACAAATGAAACCGGCTGATGTCTTTAATAATTAAAAGGGATATACAAGTAACAATCCAAAAGAGTGATAACTTTCCTATATTGAATTTAAAAAAGAGACTTGTTAAAGCTTTGAAGAATTTTGTGAGAAGAGACTAAGAAAAAATGAAAAGAAATCAAGTTCTAGGGCGTTATTTGAAGGGACTAAAGATCAAGAGTGTTAAAAGCAAAGGGAAGGAATAGAAAGGTGGTTTATTTGATCAAGGTTAAAATAGATATGTTGTTATCTCTTGTAACCCTTAATAGACTTTTGCTGATCAGGACTGAATGATGAGACTTTAAGGCATTGTTATAGATAAGAGATGGGATATGGGAAGAAGCGATCATTTGTTGTATTTTGGTTGAAAACAAATATGCTATTGATTGCTCTGGTTCCCTTATATTTATTTTAGAGAATACTACAAACACTTAATATAAAGAAGAACTACATTATAAGCAAAGATTAATATTTCATGTTAATAGGGTTTTAAAACAGACACGGAAGTAATACACTAATTAAATGTATAAATGTCATGTGTCCAAGCTTTCTAAGCAGTCATCTTTAATACCCCATGCCATCTTCATTTCATATAAGACATATATGCTAAAAACAAAATAATGTCCTGATTTAGTAGGATAAACTAAAATGTAGAATTAGTTGATGAATGTAACATTCTGCCCTTGTGTATGTATTCATTTTTTTCACATATATTCCTTGATATTATTTCCAAGGTTTCAGAGCAATGTATCTCTAATTCCTGACACTCAAGCATTGTTTATCTAGTTTCTAGGGTCAGGAACACTTGCACTGTGTGACCTTCATTTAGATTTATTTTTGAGGGTGCAGAGCAATGTTTTCTATATGTGTTATATTTTTAAAAATAAGCAAGACTTTTGCCACAGATATTTGCCTAACTACCACACGCTTGTCAACATTTTGACATAATGTTGGATCATTGCAGATTTGTATGCCTGAAAAGCCCTTAAGTACAGGTTCCAGAGACTCTCAAAAGTTATTATCAGTTTGTAACTTTTATAGAGTAGAAATGGAAAATTGATTAATTACATGAATGGAGTGCAATTTTATCAAGTGTTTTTAATTTTAATTCAATTTAAGTGATTTTTTTTTAAATGGCCTTACCATTAATTTGGCCCCTCACTTACCAAACCAAAATCAGCTTGGATTCTCAGCTCACAGAAAGCAATGCATCCCTTAGCTAATTAGACAAAATTAGATTTCAGCTATTCAGGAAGACATCTGCAGTGCCTGCCTCTAAGTCTCTCTGGCAAGTAAGCTAAAGATTTTTCCAGGAAATAAGAATTCACCATGTCTTATTTCTTTGAATTTTTTATCATTTTTAAAGTAATGAAGGCATTAGATGTATATAGGAAAAATATTAAAAGCTATACCCAATGGTACCTAATTTGAATGGTCAAAACTGGATGTGCAAGCTGTTTTCCTTATTAATTGCTACTTAATGAACTTCAATTAGACAGAGAAACAGAACAAATTAGATTGATTATGACCCTTGCTCAGGATACAGATGGAAAGAGAGAGAAAGAGAGAGAGAGAGATCATGATTGATATGGCCATGTTTCCATGTTTTTCTCATACAAGAACTTCTTATAAAGTTATCACATGTTGCCAAGTTACCATGTTCCCTCTTTGATCTCCTATTTAAAAAAAGTTTGAGATGAATCTATGCCATAGAATCTGGAAGAATCTTGAACTGCTTATTTTTAATTTTTTTTATATCCTAGAACAATAATCCTGTTGAGAAAATGTTTTCTATTTTTTAAATAGAATCTTTATTAAAGATACTATAACTCCTGAAATTAAATATTGAGTTTTATTTCCTAAAGGAACTTAAGGAGTGGGTGAGGAGAATAAATGATACAGTTTATTTTTGTTTGTTGGTTTGAATTGGATGATTTTTTTTTTTAGACTTGTGTGACATGGGATGGAGATAAACTTCTTTGTGTGCAGAAAGGAGAAAAAGAAGACCGTGGCTGGACCCAATGGATTGAAGGAGATGAAATGCACTTAGTAAGGATATGAAATGTTTTAAAATGTAATATCTTGTTCTCTTTCCCATCTTCTTCCTTTTATTTGCTCCTATGGCTAAACGCAATAATCAATATCTTGCTTGCACCTCACACTGCTTAACTCAAGAGTAATTATGCACTGGTGTTATGTTTGATCTACTTCTCAGCAATACCAACAGTTTTCTGTACTCTTTCATAAACAGCATTGTAAACAGCAACTCTGTGAGCCGCCCGGAGTCACCCTCCGGGGGAGATGGATGGCATACTAAATAAATAAATAAATAAATAAATAAATAAATAAATAAATAAATAAATAAAGTTCTAAATGGAAGAAGACATTCTATTAACTGTCCATTTCCTTCCACTGTATCAATCTGATTTTTTTATATCAGTGAACGTGTGTAATAGGAGCATTCCTACCATATGTTGTGATATAAAGGAAGTTTGAAATGGGGTTATTTTTACACCCTAAAGGGTATATCATGAACAATGCATGTGCACAATGTGGGGAGAGCAGCTGTTCTTTTTATCTTCCTTTTTTCCTTAAGATTAAAATTATTTATAGCTTTGGAAATGAAAGTGAGCAATTCACTTTTGAAAGCATCATTTTCTTTCCAAACATTATTTCTGACAATCCTAGCTACTAGCATGTAATAAAGTTTATTATTTCTTTCTCAACTAGTTGTTTATAGCATTGAAAGCCCTCTTCCCCAGAGGAGGTTACAAAACTATTTCTCAGAAGATGCTGCTTATAAAATGCATTTCCTTGTTAGGTCAGGATGGTACATTCATAAGCATCCAGGTGAACCATTAGGTCCTTGAATTGTGTTGGTAGCTGAATCTTTTAAGCAGACAGAGAGGGAGAAAAATGCTAAAACCCCAAATACGAAGAGACTTAAAACAACCTATCCAAATCTGGGCAAGTAACATGTCAGCCTGGCACCAAAAGGTCAGCAAACCATGCCTCCATGGTGAGCAGGGCTCCACCACTGAGAAAGTCATTGTGATGTGTTGGGATGGAGAAGAGGACCATAGATCTTAAAGTCTCTCAGAATAGAGAATATCATCTTTTAAATAGCCCAATTCCATATGGTATGTGTCTTTACAGGCCTTAGCCACTATTTAGAGCTCAGATTCTTTAACAAGGAAGTCATCTATGTTTTCTAGCCTCCAATACACTTTAGACATAGTGTTATGGACCAGATAAAATACCCAGCTACAGACAGTCCCCTACTAATGAACAGGTTACATTCCAAGAGGCTGTTTGTAAGTCCATTTTGTTGGTAAGTCCAACCAAGTAAAAAGTTAAAAAAAAAAAAAAAAGGGCAGGAGGCAGGAGGCAGGAGGCAGGGCAGTGGTGTTGGCAGAGGAGCCCTATCTTCTGCTGCCAATGTGGTGCCAGGTGAGGCAGGAGAGGGGATGGTAGCGGAGGAGAGGGGAGCAAAGGATGAACCAGTGGGACGTGGCACGCTCTGTTGCCAGGCAAGGCAGGAGACTTCTGCCCCCTCTCCCCTGTCCTCTGCTACTGCCCCCTCTCCTGCCTCACCCAGCAACGGAGCGCACCATGTAAATTAACCCTTTCTGGGAACTCCAATTCCAATGCAAACCTCCAGTGCAAACAGAAGGCGGGAGAAGGTAGGAAGGGGTTAGTTTGTGGCATGCCTTCTTTCCTCTTTCCTGACTTCTCCTGACTTCCGGTTCTGACTTCTGGGTCCATCTTGTTCATATTGGTGAAAGTTTGCAACACAAAAGTTCACAAGCAGGGGACTGTGCTGATCTTATGTGATATGAATTTGAAATCTTACTTATATTACTTAGTATTAAACAGCACTTTTCAGACAGGACTTCATGGCTTTCTTAATTGGGGGTGGAGGGTGGCTTTTGACCTCTATGTAGTACAGATAAAGATACAAATCCTTACAGTCCACAACAGCTGCTGGTTGCTTCAGATAAGGAAACAGTGAAATGGCGACAATTGATAAAGTAAAAGAACTTACACCTTAGTTGATACAGACAGCTGTTGACACCTGATGATCACATCTTATTAATTGAGGTTCCCAGTGTGACTAGTCCATGCTGAGCACTCTGGGATCTCTCTGAGTCAGGTTATCCCCAAGTTTGGATTTGAATATTGAAGTAGCTCTGAAGTGAGTGGTTACAGCCATTCACCTGAATGAGGCAATCTATACTGCATAGGATGGATTAGACAGCCTGAGATGACCTGCAACAGGCATTTGGGGATGGAGTACCAAATGCTTTCTGAAATTCAAAGAAATGGATTTTTGGTTCTTCATGCTTTACCACATCCAAATAAACTTTGAGAACCAGCTACATAGAGCTGGGGCCTGTCCTGCCCATAAGCTCTTCTGTATCTTAAACTGCCCTTGATGGTATTTTAAGTATGCTTAGTAAGGCTTGTATCATCACTTCTCTAAACTGCTTCAGAAATGTTCATTTTTCTTTCCTCCCCCCAAATATATAAATGCTTTTTCATTAATATATTTTAATATCTGTTCTACACGTTTTTGTATCTTTGAAAATCTTTTCATGTGCAAAACATCTAATTGACACAAGAATTATTCTGTGATGCTTCACTAATCATATTTTTATGTCCTATTGAATGCCAGGCACTAGTCCAAATGTTAATTAATCCTTTTGCAACGTCTATTAAATGATCTGCCATAAGCTTCGTGGTTGTTTCCGGGCAGCTCCATTTCAAGTCAGCATTTTCTAGTCAATTAATGCATGCATTTTTCTTAGGTTAATTTCCATAGCGTTCTAGACCTCATTTCTCTGTTCTTGTCAAGCATGGTTATTCATAACTTCTTTTTACTTAAATGACCATTTTCTGTTCTATAGATGGCCATTTCTGAGTTGCTCTTCCTGCTGCAATGTCTTACATCCCAACTGCATCTACTTTGTAACTGAATACATTTGATACAAGAGGGGACAAAACATAGCATGCTATTTTTTTTTCATTTGTTGAACCAGTTCCATTCAGCACGGCCCATTTTTAATACCTTTTGAAATCCAAAGTGCTTCCCTCCTTCCTACTCAAATTCCATTCAGATCACATATCCCTTTTAATTCATTCATCCCAGAATTTTTTTTATTCTCTGAGAAGTTATATCAAAAGCTCCAGTTTTGACTGCAAAAATTATGTTCATAGCATCCAGGTAATTTATTTCTTAAAATATATTGGTACCATTGTCCAAAGTTTCTCCTATAGAAATTCAAGTCTGATATTTTGTGTTAAGTCAAAAATAGAAGAAAATGAAATGAAAAGCATCCTGCTGAATCAGATTATAGGCCCATCCAATCCAGCACTCTTTGTCACAGACGCATTTCAGAAGTTCACAGGCCTAGACTTGAGAGCAATAGTCCTTCCCACTGTTACTTCCAGCAACAAGTATTTAAGGCTCAGTGCCTATGATTCAAGAGGTAGTAAACAGCCATCAAAATTTGTAGCCATTGATAGTCTGATTCTCCATAAATCTGTCCAGTCGCCTTTTAAAAGCATCCAAAAGGACTTCCATTACCATAACTGCTCACAGTGAATTCCCCAGTTTATGTGCTATAAGAAAAAAGTGAGATTTCCTTCTGTATATCCTGAATGTCACTGCATTAAATTTTAATTCTAACCTTCTGAGAGAGGAAGAAAAACTTCTCTCTTTCTACATTATTGATGCCATGCATGATTTTACATAACTCTATCATGCCTCCCCTTATCCCATTAACCTCTCACATTTCCACCTAAAAAGCCCCAGTTGGGGCAGTCTTTCATTAGAAGGAGTTGCTCCAGCCCCCTAATTATTTTGATTGCCCTTTTTGCATCTTTTCTATCTCTCTGAGATAGAATTTGTAAGATGTGTGACCAGAACTGTATACAGTACTCCAAATGTGGTCTCATCATGAATTTGTATAAGGAGATTATTATATTTGCAGTTCAGGTTCTAGCCAGGAACCTAGGAATCTATCCAAGTTATTATTACTATTATTATTTGTGCTAATGTGCAACATTTTACACTTGTTTACATGGAACTACATTTGTCATTTTGAAGCCAATTTATTCAATTCGGTGAAATTCTTTTGGATTGCTTCAATAATCTTATTTTCATTTTGCCATCTTGAACAAACAAGGCTACTTTATTCCATAGTATTAACTCCAGGTATACAAATGGAAAATTTCCATTCCTAACAGATCCAGGATGCCACAGTGGGTGATTCCAAATGCTCATCTTGACAGTGGGAGAGCTATCCATTTATTTCTATTTTCTGTTTTCTGTATTTTAATTATTTTCTAAACCATGAGAGTTTCTTTCTAAAAGATCCTGTCCCTCTTTTTTTGGAGTGGCATCCTCCTACCCTGTGAATTTAATTCCCTGTGACTCTCAAGGCATTACAACTGGAGCGGGATGCTGCTGTCCTGTTATCCTATATCTGGGTTTGTTCAGGAGCTTTTGATGACAGAATTATCAAAGGCTTTTTGAAAATCTAAGCATACAGTATCTATTGGATTTAGAGGCTTGTTGACACCTTCAGAAAAATCTAGCTTTGTGAGACTAGGTTTACCTTTACAGAAGCCACGCTCATTTTTTTTTTCAGCAATGCTTATAGCTTTCTTCTTATTTGTTTTCTCCTCAACATTATTTTCATTCCACAAGATTTCTACAACACTTGCTGTATCTGTGTTCAAGCACTCCCATTGTTCCATTTCAGCTTGGAAAATCCTAGTATTGGCATATAAGCACCTACCTCAAGTCTCCTCTTTAGATTTTCTGTGGCATATTCCTTCACATATATGACTTTGGCTGCACTGTTCCCTCTGAACATTTACCAAAAAAATTCACCCTCTTCTTGTAGGAGTAATTTTTCAGAATCAGATGCTCTTTGCAGCCTGCCAACTTGCTCCCAGAATCAGTTTAAAAACTGTTCTACCCCCTTTTTCATTTTATGTGTCCAGCTGCCTTGTACATTCCTGTTTCAAGGGCAGCATGTCCACTTTCTACAGACCTGCCTTGTCCCTCAAAGTATTCCAATACCTCACAAATCTAAAACGGTTCTATTGTCTCATCAGTGCACTGAGTCTATGCAGCTCTGCCTTATTGTATCTGTGTGTAGATAGGTAGCATTTCTGAGAAAGCCATTGTGGCATCCTGGATTAAACCAACTGCTTAACAACCTAAATTGAACTTCTAAATTTGACTGTTGTTCCTTATGTCATTAATGCCAACATTCATCTTGATGACTCATTCCTCCAAGAACTATCTAAGTAGACTATCTAGACCAGTGTTCCTCAAACTTGGCCACTTTAAGGTGTGTGGACTTCAACTCCCAGAATTCCCCAGCCAGTATCCTGGCTGGGGAATTCTGGGAGTTGAAATCCACTCATCTTAAAGTGGCCAAGTTTGAGGAACACTGATCTAGACAGTGAGTAATGTCTACTATTTTCACCCTATGCATCTATGTGTATCTCTAATAATTCAAAACCCCATTAACAGGAACCATCTCATCCCAGAGGCATGTCCTTGGTGTGACAGGATACCTGTTCATTCTTCAAAGGACTAGATTCTAAAAGATCCTGTCCCTCTTTTTTGGAGTGGCATCCTCCTACCCCATGAATTTAATTCCCTGCGACTCTCAAGGCATTACAACTGGAGCAGGATGCTGCTATCTCAACCCACTCAGTATAATACACAACCCTGCTGGCAACATGACTGCATACTTGTAATTATTTGTTAAGGGTTATTTAGATGGACAGTCAAGTACCTTAAAGTATTAAGACAAGAAAGGGTCAAATACTCTGCCCTCCTCACTCTGGTACCAAGATGCTTAACCTATGAGTCTGCTTGACTGTGGTTTATAAAGAATTATTGGGGCTTTGGAACTGGAGCTATTTGTGTTTAAGTATCATTGCAGATATTGACTCCTGATGTTAAATATGAATAGGGAATTCTAAAATCTTCTCCAAAAAGTAGCATATGGACATCAAGGATGGTTCTACGTTACAAAATTATTTTCAAGTAAAACTGTGTGATCCAGCAAAATAAAATCCACTACTGCACAAATATAATGTCCAAACTTGAAATATTTGATTTAAAGTTTGCATATAAAATGTGTATGTTTGGGAAAGAAAGAATTTAAGCCAGTATACATTGTTCTTTTTACATATTCAGTCCACATTCATTGTATCTTCACAGCGATTCTGAGGTGAATTCGACTGAAAAAAAAAATGTCATCCAATGAATGTTTAAGGTTAAGTTGGGGTTCACTCTGTTCTAATCTTTGAGCTTAATTCCTTTGAGCTTAATTAATTATTATTTTAGACAGCAAGGTTTTTGCATGAGAAACAGATAAGTTTGAATAAATGGCAGCTAAAAATTGAACTTCCCTTTCCAGGAAATTAGAGCTTGTGGTGTCAAGTGTAAGCAAGTATTTAAGAAGGCACAGTGATAAGCCAAACCACAGGGATCAAGAAGCTTGGATAGAATGGATGAACGTGCTGCCAACCGTACAGATGTTGCTGGGCACAAACATTCTTCTGTAACACCTAGAAAAGAGGTCATGGCCCACATCTATCTGCATCTAATTTTCTTGCAATAGATATCATAATATAGAAATCCACATTAAAGTTGATGAAACCTAACTGCATGTGAATATATATTTTGTGTTGATTATAACTTTTGATATATGGTTGGATACTAAATTTAAATACATACTTACAACTATCCACAGGGAATTCAGCTGTGAAACCAATTCAGACTTGATTTAGTTTGAAATCATGGTTGTACAGCCGCAGCTTTAAACAATCCATTTCTCTGGAACAATTATATTTCTTCTCCATAAATAAGCTCTCTTAGATAGATTCAGCCAACTGCAGTGGGAACAGTTGTTATTGGTAGAACTCTTCCTAACACAATTTCATAAATGCTATATTTGCTGAACAGGCAGTCCTCATTTAGCGATCGCAACTCAGCCATTAAGCAAAGCAGTTACCGAGTGAAAAATTATGTGACCACGACTGTGCTTACGATTTTACCCAGGACAAGCATACTAACTGACTATAATGCCAAACACACAACTGAGAGAAAGATGCTGCAAAGGTCATAAATGCAGGCATTAGTTGCAAAGTTACTTTTTCAGCCCTGTGGTAATTGTGAACGATCGCTGTCCAAGGCAGTCACTAAGTGAGGACTACCTGTAGTGAATTACCACTTCATATGCATTGGGAATAATGTCAACACACATTGTGTGATGGTAACAAACTACTCAAGGCATTTTCACACAGCACCTTTTTCACTCCCCAATCCCTCTAAAGCAGATTTATATAGGTTGCATAATCATCTTTACTCCTGCCAACCTGGGATTGTCCAAAAATACTGTGAGCTAAACGGTACTCTCTTTTCACTTGACCAATAAGAACATGCAAAAAGTCTACTTGCAAATCCTAGAACAACAACCACAACAAACTCTTTGTTAGTATGTGCACACAAAGATACCTTTGTTCTAACTACATACAGTACATGCATTTGTTGGTTGCTTGTTTAAAAATAAATCTGAGCATTTGTAATGGGGTAACACTACCTGCCTATAAGGCTATTGTTCTTTTTGTGTTAAAAATCCCAGTGACAGCATACAGATGGCATGATGTCATATAATTGATTTTATAATCATACATTTTTCTGAACACTTCTAATCATGCTTGTAAGATGCATCACTGATTAAAATAGGGCAAGGTGTTGTTAAGTTCTGATCAAAATGCAAACATTTAAAGCTTCAGAAACTGGAACTCATGGAAGTGACACTTTCACGCCATCATCATTTCCACTCCACTAGAGTTACCAAAAACACCTCATCCCTTCTCCCTCCATACCAAAGGGAAGAATGTTTAAAACTTTCAAAAGTAGTCTAGTAGTGCTTTGCATGTCCACTTGTCCCTATGGAAGAGAAGGGATCAATAAAACTCTTGACAATTTCATCCCTACTCAGTCAAAACTGCATCTACCTTAAAAGATTTGTTACGGTGGCTGAATCTGAGAAACCAGGAGGCAGAACAAGGGAAGAGTTCCCTCTAGGCAAAGAATGGACTACCCACAAGTTCTGTAGAGTACTACCGAAATACAAAAACACAACTGAATCCTAGCTTTGCTGTGATTGCAAATTTATCATAGTTTTTCCAGAAATCAATCAGCTCATTTGCTAAGCATAGGCAATCATGTGGGAAACACACTACTCTGGAACTGATTTTGCAATGGTGCAACAACCCTATGCGGTAAGAGTTTTAGAAGCAGATTAATATCATGTCAAAGATGTTTCACGAACATCAACCTTCCATATGGAAGGATCTGTTATCAAATAACCCCAGTACAGAGAATTTAGAAGTTCTTAGCTATCAAGCCTAGCAACACTCATTTGAGAGTTTCCAGGTGTGAATGCTTATTCCACATTCAACCCCATTTTCCCAGTCCAAAGGTTCACTCCCTCTCTCCTAATACAGGCATTCACAATACACTCACTGCAGTGGAGGGGCAGGTAATTTTGATTGAAAGGCAGCAAGGGAATGGATATTTAAATACCCTCTGCAATTGGTCAAATTTGATTCTGTTACAGAAATAAAGATAAAAGAAAAATAAACCATGGTATATTCTCCCATATAACAAGAAGATTGGCCCAAAATAAATTTTAAATTGAGAACAGTATCTTTGCAGATTTTAAAGCCAGGTAATATTCACCAATTTGAGAAACATTATTTGAGATACAATGGCTGCTTTTTCACTTAAGTGGAAGTGTAGATTTATGGTCTCATGGTGTACTAAAGTTAATTTTCACTGCTACAATAATAAGAATAATAATAGATGATAAGCTTAAAACAAGCTTGTTCCAGTGTACACCCCCCTCCCAATTCATGCATATATACATACACACACACACACATAAATATATACTAACAGAGTACAAGGCATATCTTGGTGAATCATTATATTTTATTAAAAAGTAAATGTATGTTAATCTTATGCTAATTAATTGACACTTTGTTAATGTACTGGATACAGTTTGTAATTTAGCACTAATTAGAAGCCTTTAGCTAAAACATCAGCAGGAGTGAAGCTCACTTGGACCATGAAGACCCAAGCTGATTGATATTTACTTTGCAGTAATTCCAAAGAGATTATTCCAAAGGAACAGCTGAAGCTAACTGCAACATTATCACTGACCCCAATAGGGTCAAAATTTTGGCTATAGATCATGACTAACATTGAAACAGCCCCTTGATACTACAGAAATGGAATACCTGAAGTATTCACTTTTTTTTTTTTTTAATAAGAATTTCATTTAGAAGAGTTATCTGTTTTTCCAAAAGCTATTTTTAGACACCTAAGTAAGAACTCAGTCACCTGTGAGAAGACCAGGTATTTGTACTGAAATATCTTTATTCTAACTTTATGACTGCTGTTTGCTTTTCTTGATCACTGTCATCATTTCAGCCTCTAAAAGAAACAATATAAAATGCATCAGCAAGCAGCCAGAATAGATTTAAGATTTATTAAGATTTAATAGATTTCACCATGAGCCTTATACTTGCTTGAAAGTTGGTGACTCAAGAAAACAAATGCAAAGAAGAGGCAGGGCAAGTCCAGCGGAGAGAACAAACTTGAAACAGGGGTTACATTGGGAGAAGGGAGAAAAATAGGCAGAAGAAAAACTGGAAATATGAAAAATATAACAGGGAAAAGGGAGAAAACAGCAAACGCTGAAAGCAGAAAGATTAGGAACATAAGAGATGGTTGACTGAGAACTGATTAAGTCCAAACATCCATGTACATTTATTTCTTCCTGAAAGAAAGGAGAATACCTTCTGGCTAAACTTGTGAACTCCTATTCATGCGAGATGAAATGTCATTTTCACCAGCCAGCGCAAGGCACAAATTTATCTGTGAGCATGATCATTCACCTCCTTCCTCTTATTCAGGAAAACCTTATAACCCCAAATCTTCCAACCCAACCAACCTAGCTATACTGGCTTGTTTGTTGTTTGCTTGTTTTGTACTGTTTTTAGCAGAAGCAACTACTAGTCAGATTAGCTATCATTCATAGCTGGTAATGAACAACACTACTTTGTCCTAACAGGCATGAAACTCCTGACTAAAGTAAAGATTACATACTGATTTTCTTGCTTATCTAATACTCATCAAGTTTACCAAAAAAAAATGGGTTGTTACCCTGTGAGTTCTTATACTTGATCAGAAATAAATGAGAGAAACTAATCTACATATTGTATCTTACTTTGTATTCCAAAGTTTACTTCTCAGCATGCAATGAAGTATATAACAGCCTTTATCTGCATCAAGTAATCAATAGCTTCATTTTCTATATTCAGCAATATGAGGATACTCATCTCACTCATTCAAGGATATTCATCAATAATGACCCTTAACTTTATTTGGATTTATCCATTGTGTATAGCTCTGTGGGGTTTAGCAGTAGAATTTCTACTTAGTCTTAAGACCCCACTGCAGAAAATTAAGCTCTTGTACCTTATATGCAGACATACATTTACATGGTCTCTTCTACACAACTATTAGGAGTACAAGCATCATGTCCTGCTTGGTTTCTACTCATTGTCTGCTGCTCCCTAAACTTATAGCTTAAGAGTTGCTTAGTATATGCTGTAAGCATTACAGAAAATAAGAACTAATAGTCTTCTGTGATGCTTAGTTTTCACAGTTCAGGGAATTTGGTTTGAATGTTCTCCAATCCTATGTCGCATTTACAAACTGTTCTGTAAAAAGGTATAAGTAGTTAAATTAGCAACCAGACAAGTAAAACCAATTGTTGGGAATGTTATTACTACTGTAATTAGACACAAATGTTTTTCCCTTGGGAACATTTGACACAAGGGCAAGATTAGCATTACAGTAAATAATAGGGGGAAAAAACGTATTTAAAATAGAAGCACTTAAGCTTAATGAAGAAAAAGTTTTTTTAAAAAAACATTTATAGACAATCTTAGGTTTTTAGCATATGAACTGCTTTAGGTGTGAGAGGTTTTATTGTTCGTGTGTTTTGATAAGTTGCTATTAAACATCGGATTATATATGGCATTTATATGAGCATAAAACTTTAATAAAATAAAATAATAAAATAAAAAAAGCATAGACAGTTGAAGGGCCCTAATATCTGGCTTTTTTTAACATTACAACAATAATGTTATGTAGCAATTACCAAGAATCACTAGCTACATGGTCCACATGTTCTCTTTATGAAATTTATTTTCATGCAGGGGAAATATCATATGTGAGTAGTCAAATATAAAGAACATTTCTCAGCCTAAATTTTCTACCTGTTAAATGAGGGGAAGAAAAAAGCAACAAATAAGCCTTTGGATTGTTATAAACCATTAGTTAATTGTTCTTTAACATTTATCCTAGAGATTTTTCTGCTCCAGTTAGCTGCCAATTTTAAATTAGGCAAAATTCAGCATACAAATAGCCATGTTCATGAATAATTTAGAATCATCTGAATGTTATTAAAACTTAGGCAAACTCAGTTTATCCAGGTATCAATCCAGAGTTTAAGCTTTAGGCCAACTTGTCCCATCAGCTACTCTCAAATGAGCTCAGCTAAAACTCCCACCAT